ATAGGAGTCGTGAATCGTTCGCAAAAAGATATCGACGATAGGAAAGACATCAGGAAAGCCTTGTCCGACGAAAGCAAGTTCTTTACTGAGCACCCGGCGTACGGACCAGACATGGCTCATAAGTTAGGCATCAAATATCTTCAGGAGTACTTACAGTCAGAGCTGTCAAACCACATCTTCCGACGACTGCCCCAATCGAAGCCCAAACTGGAGACCAAATTGTTTGAAATCAACGAAAGGTTGTCCGAAATGGATGTCCCGTTGACTGAAGAGACAAAAGAGAGACATTTGGCCCAAACTAACGAGTCGTTTCGTCAGAGTTTCGACAGCGCAATGGGAGGAAAGGTATGTCGAGTGGACACCAAGAAGCTGAGTGGCGGCGCCCGCATTAACGTACTCATGAACGACACGTTCGCCAAAGAAGTGGATCAGTTGTTTTACGACGAGACCCGCTTGGGCCGGGAGATCGCCACAGCCATTCTCAACGCTCCCGGCGCCCGGTTAGCACTTTTCATACCTGATGTTGCATTCACCTCATGTGTGGAATCACAGATCGGTATTTGGTTTAATATATCGTATATAATATATTTGTACCTGTTAATCTGAAATATTTTTTCAGAGCTATTCCGTATGCCATCGCTAGCGTGTGTGGATTGGGTGACCAATGAAATTATCAATTCAGTTAACGAATCTATCGATAAATTGAAATGTTTTCCAAATTTAAAGTTAGTTATTATGAGTACATGTTGAAGATGATTTTCAGGTAAATTACATTGTTGATATATTAGGAATATATACTCCAAACTAACCCTCGATTCTGTTCGCGAGTCTAACAAAAAGTGTAAAATCTTTGTCGAGCATATTGTGGCCACTGAAAAGTGCTATATAAATACAATCCACGAAGACTTCAAAAAAGTTACTGGGTACTATATTAGAATATGATAGTGTTTTGATATAATTACCGGTACTAATATATTGATTTTTTATATAGAGAGTTGACATCCAGTCTTATATCGGATGTACAGCTGAAAGTCACGACACAAGCCATTCAACAGAACTCAAAGTCCGATAGATTTTCATACAAGAAGAAGGACTTCTGGTTTGTTCTAAAGGGCTCTACTCTGTCGTGGTTTACGGATGAGACACACAAAGTCCAAAGGGGTTCAGTCGATGTGAAGGGCTTTCATTTGAAATCGGAAACAGACTTTTCATTGACTTTGGTTTTATCAAAAAAGTAATCAATTCTCAAAACTTTTATTCTTGTAAATTATAAGATGTTTCCATTCAATAGGAAACTATTAAGTTTGGGATCAAATAGTGAACACGAATTTGTGTTCAATTCAAAAGATATGACACTCAAGTGGAAGGACTGGTTTGAGGGGGTGGGGGTTAAGGTGGACAATGGGGGTCCGGCGGCTGATAACGAGTCTCTATACAAAGACACAAAATCGGAATCCAATCAATCGTTGAGTCGTTACTCGCAATCGAGTCATAGTATTAGTAGCCATTCGTGCGAAGACATGGCATTCCCAGACCACATGCCGGGACAGGTAGATGTGGTCAAGAAGTATATCGATAAATACGTTGTCATACTTAAGACTATTTTCAGGTATACCTTCAGTATAATACAATTACTGTAATATGAAAATAACTTATAATTGTTTTGTTTAGGGATCGTTTGCCCAAATTGTGTCAATTAGAGCTCATAGACTCGACCTCTAAGTTCATCGCAACCGAACTCCACGTCCGCCTCAGACATCAGTTTCCGACAATCGATGATATCTTAGGCGAAGATCCCGATAAAGACGAGAGAATTGATTTGCAGAACCGGAAGCAGCACTACATCGAAGCCATTGACATAATCGACAAGTTCTCCAAAATGAAACTTTGAATCCATTTACTAATCATTATTGAGATAATTAATATTTAGTGCAATACATTGCTATACTCTGTATTATTTAATAAAATAACGTGGAAATTGTAATGTGCTTGCTAACTCACTATTTTAATGTTTAATAAATATGAGCAATTAGAAATAAATATTGTATCTAAAAAATTTAAACTCCGGTCGCAAAAGGATATCCTCACCAATAAAAGTATAGGCGAAGCACTGCATGACGAGCACCAGTTCTTCATTGGACACCCGGCTTATGGACCGGAAATGGCCGACAAAATGGGAATCAGGTATCTTCAGGAGTATTTACAGACTAGAGCTATCAAATCATATCTTCAAACGATTGCCGCCATTGAAGCCTAAACTGGAGGCAAAACTGAATAAAATCAACGAAAGGCTACGTATTATTCAGGAGATGTCCGAAGTGTCGGACAACGCGATGGTTATATCGGAGGCCTTGGAGCTATTGAAACGGGGGTACGACAGCGAAGTGGGCGGTAAGTCGTGGAAAGTGAGCACAACTCGCCGTAATGGCGGCACCAAAATCAGGGCCATTATTAACGATAAATACGCGGCGGAAGTGAATAAAATATTCTTCGACGACAACAGTATTGTTGATCAGATAGATATAGCCATTGACAACGCGTTTGGCACCCATTCCGGGATGTTTACCCCGGACACCGCCGTAGTGTCTGGTTGACAACCAAATTGGTATGTATAGATATTTGGGGTTATGTTCAAAATTTGTTTAATAAATTTATTTATATTACAGAATTATTCCGCAATATATCCCTTACTTGCGTGGATTGGGTTACCGATGAGATCATCAATATTGTCATCAATTGTATTGAGACCGTTAAGGGAACACATAAATTAAAGTTAGATTTTTGGTTTTATAGTCTATTAGTCATACATGTATATTTGAACATGTGCGTTTTACAATAGAGAGGTATTCAACAAATTTGTGGTCGACTTTGTGGCCAATCAAATGAGAAATGCAAATTATATGTCGATATGAATGTCAAGTCGGAGCAGTCTTACATGAATACTAATCACGAAGATTTTGTCAAAAATATTGGGTATTGTACTATATTTAGGATATTTTTACCTATAAAATTGCGATTATTAAATTGATAGAATATTTACCACGTTTCATTTAAAATTTAAATATTAAGCCCTACTTTAAATTAAATCTTATGGCAGATCCCCCAATAGTAGATTAAACAGAGAATTATCGGAGCCGTCATCGCCTATAAGCCCTCAACAAACCCAAGCACCGCAGACAGTGATGTCGGCTATTCTAAACCAAAACATGCCCAGGGCACATTGGGTATCATATAATAACATAAAGTACTGGTTTGTGTTGAGTGGGGGCACTCCCTCCTGGTTTAAACACGAGAAGAAAAAGAGTAGTGAGGGCTCGGCTATGATGAATGGCGCCTACATTAGCACTGAAGAGGAGATACTATTGGTTTTGATTTATTTAGACAAGTGAGCTAGCAAACTTTTGCTCAATATAGATTACGATCTAAATATCAATTTGATTTGTATGCAGGAAATCCAAGCGACAAGTATTAGAGTTGGTGTTTGACTCGCGCGATGAAACTGAACAGTGGAGAGATTGGCTGATAGAGGCCGGGGTTAGGTATAACCCGAACCGACCCATCCCTCCACCGACTGCTCCGATAAGTCCCTCGTATTCAATGGCTACTCTTAATACTGTGGACGTGTCGTACCCGTCGAATAAGGATCAGCAGATCGAGACGATCAAGAAGTTGGTCGACTGGTCGACGCCTACATGATTATCCTCGAGAAGAACTTCAAGTGAGTTGTTGACCACAAATATGTCAAATCATTGATGTATTTGTTTGCACCAGGGATACGATGCATAAGTTGTGTCAGTCGCAGCTCATCGACTCGACCTCCGACTTCATTGCCTTCGGGTTGAGAGCGACTATCGATAAGAACTTCAACACAACCGATGATATCGTGGGCGACAACGGCCACAGAGAAGCGGCTATTGATCTCCAGAAGAGACACAAACTCTATACGGAAGCCATTGTTGTGATCAACAAGTTCTCCACAATTAAGTTCACGTCCGCTCTTCACAATCCGCAGTCGTTTGCGTGAACTTCAGACTTAGCAGACAATTAACAGACTGTTCAATGAATTAGTGAAATATTATAATATTATGAAAATAAAATTTCAAACACAATTGGGAATAAAGTCTATTCACACGATTATACTATAGTACAGGGTTGACTTTTATTAACGATACCATTTTGATTCTCGTTTATTTGAACACCCTGTATTATTTTTAATTGATTCCTTCACCA